CACGCTTTGTTCTCATGATGCCCGTGTTGCTATGGCACCACAAAATGCTTTCAAAGAACCAGTATGAATAAGATATTTTGCACACAAAAGTCTATTTGGAAATGTCAGTGAACATCTTGAAATGCGAACAGCTCCATAAAGAGAACCTCAAGCAATTTCCGTGTAGGAGATGGGAGAAAGAGGCAGATGGGTTTAAGCTTATGTGGGAAGATGCAAAGGCTGTATAGTATTGTATAGATTTCTGTGTAAAATCCCAACCCCACTGGTCCTTGTGTTGTTTAATACCTCTTGTGAGATATGAGCCAAAGAGTAGGCTCCTTGGATTCCAGTCTGGCTAAGTGTTTTATCTGGTGAAGAAAGATGCAACAACTGGGGTACTCTCAAAGAAACTGCTTCCTTGTTTGTTACAGTTGTGCCCAAGGAGTTCAACTGAGATTAGAAATGCTTAATAATAGGTCCACCCCCAAAAGCTTAGTCTGCCTCTACCAGATAGGCATCACCCCCATTGGAAAACCAAAGCACAGAGAGATTTAGGATTTGCCCATGGACACTATAGTAGAGCTAGGAAATGAATCTGGATTTCCCAGGTCCTAAACCAGTGTCTAAATCACAAACCATCTCACCTCTGCCCAAAAGGCAGCCTGCCAAGAGGTGATTTTAGGAGCCAAATGCTGAGATCTTAAACACAGTGTGGTTTTGCTGCTGGTCTGGAAGTTGTCTTTTGTCTGGTATCTACAGATTCCAAAATAGGGGGCAGATCCCTTCCATTTCATACTCTTCTCTGCTACAACAAACCAAAACAATGCTGATTCTAACCCTTTGCCAGTATTTATTGAAGATAGCCACTTCCCTCAGAAGAAAAGTTCCACAGAATTTGATAAAGAAGTGAACAAACTTTTTTTATCAGTGTAATGGGATTTTTCAGAAACTGTTTTACAAGCCCATCAAATTACGAAGTTGTTGTAATCTATTATTTATTTGCTTTTCCACCATCCTGTACAGCTATCTAGAAGGGATAAAAATCTTTATGAAAACTCCATAGTATGCCTTAAAACCCCTGTAGAGAGGAGGAGATCTTTGGCCATTATTTCTGTGACAAAGCAGTTTTAAGCCATCTTATTGCTTTTAAAACAAAACAAAACAAAACCAGGAAAAAAAACCCTTGGCTTTTGGTTGGCAAATATGGAAGTTTATTTGCTGACATTTTTCACCACCATTTTTGGCAAAACTTGAATCTAAATAAATAAATAAATGTACTGGCAGGTGGCAGTAGAAACTTATTGGGTCCCAGGCAAAGGCAGCCATTCACAGAAAAGCTAGAAGCTGCATTGTGGAGAAGCATCATGGTCTGTAGCTCATTGTACGGGTGTACAGTGTTCACTGTAGGGGAATTTGAATTGGCAGGACTGAAAATACAACACTCCAAGCAACAACTTATAAGAAAGAACATTTCTGGTCATGGTTGGGAAGAGGAAGAGGGCTAAATACCTGGATTGTTTTTCTTTACTGTCCAGTTGGAAGGCTTGGTGGCAATGTTGTGCTTGGCTGGTCAGGAGACATGGCTTCTACTTCTGCTCTTTATTCAAGGGAGTTCACGCTGCTTCATGGTAGAGTAGAGCAGGAGATTTTTCACCATACAGAGGGCCTAAGTCGTAGAATCGTAGAATCAATGAGTGGGAAGGGACCTAGACAGATCATTGAGTCCAACCCCCTGCCATGGGCAGGAAGGAGCACTGGGGGCGGGAGGTGTCATAAGACACCAGCCAGGTGCATATCCAGTCTCCTCTTGAAGATTTCCAGGCAAGGTGAGAGCACCACCTCTCTGGGAAGCCTATTCCAGGCTCTGGCCACCCTTACCGTGAAGTAGTTCTTCCTAATATCTAACCTAAACCTATCCTCCCTCAGCTTGTGGCCATTGTTCCTGGTGACTCCAAGGAGGGCCCTGGTGAACAGACTTTCCCCGAGTCCCCGCTGGTGGCCCCTGATAAGATTGTAAGCAGCCACAAGATCCCCCCTCAGTCTCCTCTTGCAGAGACTGAAGAGATTCAGGTCCCTCAGCCTCTTCTCACAGGGATGGCCACAGAGGCCCCCAACCATATGAGTGGCCCTCCTTGTATGGTCAAAGCCCTTAGAATCAACGAGATGCTTTGCAGGATTTCATTATGCACTGAATCCCTCCTAAGGAATTGTTGGTGTTGGACCTTGAAAAGACTGCATTCTCAGCTCCCTTTAGCTAGTAAGTTAGGTGGTGTTGGTGGTGGTGGTGGTGGGGGTCTGTTTGGAAGATAGTGGGGAATGGGAAGAACTGAATGAGTTTTAAAGGCTCTTATAGCACTGCCATCTTGCACAGGCCTTTGCTGTGAGGCAGAGTATCTGCAGTGTCTCCATTACTTCACTCCTCTGCTTAGATTTAGTATATGTTGCTGTCACCAGGTCAGGGTTCTTGGCTGCTTGTGTGCATGAATGACACAACTAGCATGAGAGTACCCAGAAATGGAGCACCAGCCATTGTGTGTTGTAGTGCTAATTGACTTGGAAACATGGAAGAGAATTGCAGGAGTCTGACCTACTTTGGTTTGTTACTCACTTTCTTACAAAGTTTTTTGTTTTTAAACAGTACACATTATAAGTGGAGGTTTTGGCTATGCTTAGCACGAGATGTATTTCTTCGGAGGAATTCAGTTTCTGAAAGACTCCAATTTCACATACATGGATAGTTATAGTAATTTTTATTAATAAACTTGAGTACTGTAGCACCTGTGTGAGAATCCCTAGGTAGTTTTATCCTCAGTGCCCCTAATAGGTGGAGAAATTATTATCCCTTTTGTCACTGGTAAACTCAGGCATATATTGAATTGTATCTTTCCAGTTAGACTCCTAAGAATAGCGTTCTTAATGCTAAATGAATGTCCTGATTTTTCAGAGGTGTTTTGAAAAAGGGAGCTGTGCATCCTCAGCACTGCTGGTAGTTCAGTTATTTAGATGCCTAAATTATAGGTAGCTATATTATAGGGTTAGGTAGGTGAGTTTAACAGTTCAGCCTTAAGTGAATTGCTCACACACATCAAAACACTGGCAGAGCTCCTACTACAACTTGGGAGTCCTGCCCCCTCCTGTGTCCAGATCATTGAGCTTGTCTCTCATAGCAGTCATTGGCTAAAGAAACTGAATCTCTGTTGCTGCTGTTCCTCTCTATTCGGAGGCTTTCTGTAGTGCCCATCACTAACTGCTTCCTGTGTGAAATAGATCTGCAGAGCAAGCTCCTTCATGAGTTTCAAGGAGCCCTTTTTCTCCACTGATCTAGCCTAATAGTCTTTTAAGCCTTGTCAGAGAACAATACCTCCTGATTAACTTGTTACGTTCTGTGCTATATGAATTCTCAGCATCCTTAAGTTCAGCCCCTTGCCACTAGGCTTTTCCAGAGGGGCTTTAGACTCACTTACATCTTTCCATAAGGAATTACAGTGGAGGTGATCTAAGCCAGCATTTCTCATCCTGTGCATCGTGACCCAAAAGTGGGTTGCAAGAGTATATGAAAGGATTGCAAACAGACTTTAAAAATGGATTCTCCTTTAAAGGAGAATATAGTGGAAAAGTGGCTTTTCCCTTGCAGGCTGTCAGAGTTCTAGCTTGCAAGGGGCTGTTTGGGGGCCCCCTGCCCCACACACTGGGAGGCTGGGGTCTGGGGGCAGTGGGTCAGGAATGAGGGGCACTGGGTTGGGACTGGCCGTTGTTTTACCAGGACCCATTCAGAAACATCAAAGGTTGAGAACCATTGATCTAACCAATAGCAAGCTATGTGATGCTTCTGCTAAAGAGGAGCCACCAGTAGTGAGCCAGTGTGTTGAATCATCTTCAGTGGGATGCCAAAGACTCAGTGGCTCAGGCTTCATTCAGATACTACCACTTGGACTGTGCACTTCTGCTCCTACACCCTACTCCACACTGTTGGACATACCTTTGTCTCACTCACTCCTGCATTATCCTCTGAAAACCTGCTCTGTAAAATACTTCAGGAGTAATCCATTCATACAGTGTTACAGAACTATTAGGAGCAATAAAAGCAGGTGCTTTGTAATCTAAGTGATGCTGGGAGGAGTCTCCTTAGGAGACATTTGCAAGCAGCATTGCTATTAATTTTTGTAAATGGCAGTGCTGAGATGCCATGAAAACACCAGGGACTAGTAAACCTCCAGCATGCAAAAGAATTCCCTTCTATAACCTTCTGTTTCAAGGGATATAAGTAGCTGTTCCCAGATGGTTTTAGTTCACTGAAGACCTTGAGAGTCTGTTGCTACTGCCTAGGTAGCAGGACTTCCTCCAGTATTTTCTTTTAAGGGTCAGGATAGCCAGTCTAACACTTTCAGGGGTTACCTCTGCTGAAGGTTCAAGGTTTGCATCTGCTTTGCTATGCCAGCTTGCAAAGGGGTTGGAAAAAGTGGCTGCCTCCAAAACTGGGCTAATGTTCTGACACCTTATGAACTTACATGGCAAAGTGACTCCTTCAAGTGAATGCTACTTTTAATGGGAGAACTACGATATGTACACACTGACTTGCTGACACTCCCTGTGTTATTCTGCCAGGCTGCCCGATATGGGCATAGCTTGTTTGCTGATATTTGATAAGGAACAAAGTGATGGGAGTCCCAATTTCAGAGGGATCAGTGTAGGGGCTTATCAAGGGGACTTGGGTAAAAGGCTTTTTATGGCAAAAGAAACTAGCTTAATTCCTGAAAAGTGCTTATGTCTGAGTGCTTTCATTTTTCAGGTTTTGTGACACTGTGTAACGGGAGTTAAGGAATATTGTAACCCTGCCTGGTACATTAAAAACTCAACAACCCTGAAAAAGTAGGGCCAGAAAACCATTAGGGGAGTGTCAGTGGAGTTGTGCTAGTCTCTGCACATACAAAAATAGCTGGGCTTTGATTTGTGAAGTCTCTTTCAAGAAGCCCATACAGTGCTTGATTTCAGTGTCAGTTTGAGTTGTTTTCTCTCTGCAGGTATCTCATGAGTTCGCCATTAACTTCAATCCTACCAATCCGTTCTGCTCAGGTAAGTACCTCTTTGGGCCCAGTCTTTTCCAGCTCAAGGACAAGTATTTCCTCATTATTATTTTGGACATACAATCCTGGTAATTTCATCCTGAACTTCAAGCCCTGGTCAGAGCAGCATTGCAGTTCTGACTAAATCTTCAAAAGATCCTCTGCTTAATTTGGACATCTCCTGAAAGGTACCAGGATGAGAAGCACTGCAGGTCTCCTGTACTTTCACAGGTCATTTTGAAACTGAGGCCTAGTTTACAATGATGGCTATAGACTTATATGCTTCATAGAGTCTGAGGCTTCAAGAGATATTATGATAATCTAGTTTGACTTCCTGCATAAGGTACTAGCAGGTATGAGGATAGCCCCAGGAGAGCTGACCCCTTTTTCCTTCCACCACTTCACAAAAACTGCAATGAATACCCGCTTAGCTTTTCAGGTCAGTATATGATTATACTAGTTGTCCAAAAGCTTTTTGTATTACTCTTATTTGGATTGCTTTGAAGTTCAGAGCCCTAGGCACTGTACAAATCTGTAAGACTAAACCCTCCAGGGAAGAAACTGTTTAAGCAGTGGAGATTGACAGGTTTGTTTAAAAGAATCTAATACCTTCTGGTTTATGATTGACCCTTCATAGGTTAGTCTATTTATCTCGTGTCCCTCCAAAAATAATGCTAGCACTTGTAAATTGTGGGCTAGTATTTTCCCACAGTTAGATGACAGAAACTGAGGCAAGGAATGTTGAAGCGACTTGGCCAGAGATCACCCAGTAGGCCGGTGGCAAAGCTGGATCTAGAGCCCTAACCCTCCTTTCTCTCCAGTTTTGTTCTAGCCCAGGGGTTGGCAACATTTTTGGACAGTGTCAAAATACCTGCAACCTCGACTTCTAAGATATTACAGTGCCAAGGGAGGATGGCAGGGGGCCAGTCTTTGTTGTGGCAGGACTGCCTTGTCCTCACCGTCAACCCTGAGGCACATGTGCCAAGCAGAATGTCTTCACGTGCCACACTCTCATCTATATTATGGGCTGCTCTGAGCTGCTTGGAGTCAGGCCCATAACATCTGCTCTGCCAGTTAGCTGATCTCTGGTGTGTGGGGGTGTGTTTTTGAGGCAGTGTTCACTGAGTCAGCAGGGAGGCCATATAGACATGCCCTCTAATGCTACCTCATATACCCCTGAGGATACAAAAACTTTCTGGCAATATAATAGATCATGGAACATATGGTGGCCTCTGTTTAATCTATAATAAATTACCATACGTATAAAGGACATAAATTCCCTGGGAGTGGCAGGTAGCGGATCAGTCACAGTGGGGATCGGGTGACTGTGGTTGTTCACCACTTACATTCTTTTCCAGCCTAATATTTATGACCATAAGAAGGTGTGGCCTGCTGAATGTTTTAGGAGAAACAATGAAATTGTCTTTGTGGGCTTTGGATGTAACACCCCAAATGAGAGGAATCTCTGAATCTAATGTCCCAAGCTACACTTGAAACTGTATCTTCAGACTTAAGAAACCATTGTGCTGGCTTGCATTCAGAACATTCTCTTTATAGTTGGACAGACTGAAACATGACTAACAAATGTGTTCTATGGAAGGAAATGAATGATGATTTAAAATATGATTTATGTAGGCTAATATACTGTCCTTGAAGAATAATGGAGCTCAGTGATAACAACAGGAGATTTGTACAAATATCAAGGAGGAAACAGAAATTTATGCCAAGCTTCTTAGAACTACTGTGATAATTCTGCTCTTTGTGTATTTGGAACACTTTTTTTTTGCCTGGATTTACCTAATTGATCTGTAGAATTGCAGTAATTGTGCACCTGGATTGGTATGCTGCTGTACATCTAATCTTACAGAAAACACTGATTGAGTATCAGCTCTGTTGAGATGAACAAGGTAGTTCAAAACTCTTAGACAGATTGTTTCAGGTTCAGGCATTACATCCTTTCTGCCCTCTGTTTTCTTGGAAGGATTGCTTTGCAGCCCTAGAAACATTATTCTTCTGTAAAATAAATGCTTGCCAAATCTGAATTGGTCAATGAACTGTAGAACTGTAGATGTTTCTGACCCCTGCTTTATAAGTGGGATTTTCAGAATCACCTATTTGTCTTAGAAGCCCAAGTCCCTTTGACATTCACAGATTTTTTTCCTCTAAGTCACTTGAGCACCCTTGAAAATTTGACCCCAGATGCGAACTTAGACCTGGATGCAGCAACTTCTTGTATGCTGGTAGATTGCTCTGTCCACAAGGAGCACTAAGGACTCCAGTAGGATTCCAGGAAGTGCAACACCTTGCATGTAGGCATATAACACTTATATGCAGACACATACGCACACAAGCAGTTGTAGCATCAGGACCTAAAAGGCAATTAAAACACTGTGTCTAAAACACCGTGGCCCAAAATATATGCACTGCAACAGGTTAATGCTTGAAGACAGCTATTATGGCATGTGCTACTGTTCAGTTATGACAGGCAGTCATAGCCTGTTAATAAGAAAAGGGTAAAAACACAACTTCTATTTGCTGTTTTATCCCACCTTAAAAACATACTTCTATGTATGCATTCAGTGAAAGAGAGCTAAAGGGATTGAGGGAAGCAAATTCCTGGATTTCAGGATGCAGCTCTAAATAGAAACACTTAGTGAGGCCACAATCAAGTCTTGCATCTATGTAGGACTTCCTTGGAGCCTGGTCTCCTAGGTGATAAGAGACAGATAACTCTTGAGGGAATTGGTATCATGCTGTTCCAGGCAGTTTGGAACATAGTGCACTCACCTCAGGCTTTGAGGCTGGGAAAATGAAATTGCCTGTTTATTTATTTTTCATGTGTCTTCTACCCTTTGATATTTCCACTTGAGCCATGAAATGCTGGATTGTCCAAACAGCCTGGATTTCTGCCTTTCTGGTTTCAGTCTTGTCACATAGTTGGGTATTGCACGCTAAAGGGGCAGGGTACAGAGTGCTGAGTGTAAAGAAATGTTTTCTCTTCTGATGTGTGTGCACAGCTCCCAGTGAAGGCCTTGGCCCCTCTGTGTTTACATGTCCCAGAGCAGGACTTGGTTTTATTTCAGAAGTGAGGATTTTTTAAAATTAACTTGTTCTCAGATAACTAAGCCAGCATTAAAGAACATGGCATTTTTAGAGCCAACTAAGCCCAATTGCCCTGTATAACTAGGGAGGATTATTCTGATATAAGCATAATAGGTGCAGTAGGGATATAATGCTTGTTGTCTCATTACTGCTGGCAAGCAACTGGTAAAAAAGCCTGCAACAGGAACAGGTTATTTGGTTGCCTGAACTGGAACAGCCGGAAGGTCCTTCATCCCTAATCTAATTTACTGACAGAAATTGATTCTCCTGAACAGGTGGAAAAAGCAAAGGAACCTCTTTCATATCTTGCAAATCAGATCAACACATTCAGAACACCAGTAAAACTTCCGGTTTCAAGTTTCTTGCCAAGTTGTTTCTGTCTCTGTTGATTCTCTCCACAGCCTCCCTGCTTTGTGACTGCCTCAGTTCCTTCTCAGATGTAAGCATGTGTGTTCCCACATGGTTACTCTCTTCACAAGACCTCAATATTTTTCAAAAGCAAAAGAAAGCCACCTTACTTGAACTCGGGCATCAGAAGCCCTCTCTCATAAGCACAAGGACTCAGGTATAAAATGGTTATCAAGGTCAAAGAAAAATTAACTACGTTAGGCTGAAGTTAGGCAGAAGACAGAGTATATTTGGACCTTACAGACTAACTGAATCAGAAGTGTATGGCATACATTTTCATGAGCTTGAGCTCACTTCTTCATCTGGTGATAGCATCTAATGAAGTGCGCTCTGGTTCCCAAAAGCTTATGTCACCCATCTCTGACTTAGTTTATAATGTGAAAATCTACCCTGTATTAAGGTCAGAGGCATCTCAGATCTTCTGAAAAATAATGTCTGAGAAGGGACGGATAAAACTTTTTTGCCAAATAATAATGCTGCTGAAAATGTGATGTCAGATGCCAAAACTATTACATTGCATTTCAATTAAAATTTTCAAGGAAGAACACTGGGACGACATTATTGCAAAGGTTGACATAGAATTTGTTGTTTTAGACATGCCAGATTTTATTGATGAAACTTTACAATTTTTTTTAAAGAAATGGTGTTTCTTTTGCTTAAAAATTGACCTAAATTTAAAAACAAAAGCTTAAACTGAAGGGTTTGGTAACTGAAACGCAACAACGTATTTAATTTTGGGTCAAATAAAACATTTTGGCTTGACCCCAAATGATTTTTTTCTTTTTTTCCTAGAATCCTCAAATCTCTATCTTTGGACTGATCTGAACCAACTCTTGGGCATTTTCATACGTGTTTCTGGACATGGTGCTGGGCACTTCAATTAGCTAGCGGCGCTAATTAAAAGCGCCCACACTTTACATGTATTGTCATCGCTGCGCATCCCCGCCATGAAAACATGGCAGGGGGTGGTTTAAACTAAAGCTCAACAGGCATATTTTATTTTGAAGTGCACTGCTGCCATTTTGTCAGTGTGGAGACGCTGATGCATATGACACGTGAGGCTACCGGAATGCATCAATTTCTGTGCTCCAATGCATCTGAGCAGGCTCCCTGCCTGTGTAGGAGCCCCTTGTTTCCAGTTTTTCAGTTCAGCCTTTGAATTGTGGGGAGAGATGGGTGGGATGAGGACACACGCACGCCCTCTTGCCCCCCCACACCCTCCACTTTATTTCCTCACATCTAGTTTGGAGCACCCTCAGTTCCAGAGAAAATTGTTTTTACACCACTGAAACACTCCTGATGCACAGTCAGGATGGTTCAATGGGTTGGATACCGGCTTGGGAGGTAGGAGTCCTAGATTCTTGTCTTGACTCTACTCCTGACTTGCTCTGAGATCACTTGAATCATTTTGCATCTCTGGTTCCCATGCCACCTGCTCTCTGTTTTGTCTATTTTAGCTGCAGAGTAAGCTCCATAGCCTGTTGTTTGCACTACGCCTTGGAAAATGAAACCCTGATTTCTACAGGGGGCTCACTCTAATGTAAATGCCAGTACAATGAAATATAATTTTAGTGATTTTGAATTTCCATCAGTTGTTTCTGAAATCCATTTTGATGTGTAAGTAGAGTAAGGAGCAGATTGCTGGAAGAAGCTTTTTTGCTGCCTGGAAGAGTTGGATATTTTAACGTTTCATTTGTCTGCTTTTCTTTAAGGAGTGGAAGGCATTGTCCAAGCCTATTCAGCCTGCCTGCCCCATGTGCGCTTCTATGGACCAACCAACTTCTCCCCCATTGTCAATCATGTGGCCCGGTTTGCTGCCCAGGCTACCCAGCAGGAATTTGCAGCAGTAAGTTAGAATGTGTATATTGTTTTATCTGTGTTGTTGCCTTGGCTTTGAATTTCAAAGTGGGGCTAATTAAGCTGAGCATCTTGGTGTCTCCCAGTAGGCATAGCATCACAGAAAAGCAAAATGAAAAAGGCCTATTAGAGAACCTTGCAAAGAATTTATCAGAAGCTAGTGTGATAGAGTAATTGATTTTAGCCAATAACTGGTTCCATTTTAAAGGCTTACTGACTCTATCTTGGCAGCAAAGACAAGGGAAAGCTGTGTTTAAGGAAGGCAAATCACCTTGCAAGTTTAAATTTTGCCGACTTCTTTGTAAAACAGCTGCTGTGCAACAAAGGCAAAAGCAGATGCATGAGAGCTATAAATGTCCAGGACCCTGAGGTTCTGTGTAAGTACTCGTGGCTCCCATCATTATGTTAATTGAGTATCTATCTGCCATCAGGGAATTTATCCTCTTAATACCCACGGGAGATAAGGGAGTGCTGTTATTGCCCCATTATGGATGGGAAGCTGAGACAGCAGGAGGTTAAGGAACTATCAAGAAATCATATGCAGGTATTGAGCACTACAGGAATGATCCTTCCTACCACATAATGTTGCATGTGATAAGGTACTGGCTATCTATCCTACATCAGCTGCTACTCTGGTCTTTGTAAGCCCAGCAGCTAGGCACCTCCCAGTTATTAAATACAGGTATCCTTACAACACCCCTGTGAGGCAGGACAATTTTACTTCTCCTGTTGTACAAATGGGCAGCCGAGGTGAAAAAAAACTGCTCAAGGTCATAGATAAAATCTATGGTAGAGCAGGGTATTAAAGCAAAATCTTCCAAACCATATTACTGCATTTCCCACCTCTGCTGGGAGCTTCACTTTTGGTTCTTGTAAAGCAGGTTGAGGGGGTAGGTGGGAGTGAGCTTTTCTAAACTGGTTTTGGAAACAAAATGCATTCAGCATACTGTGATCTTGAGCTGGGAGAAGAAATTTTAAAAGACTCTTAAAATCCAAAAAATATTTGACATCTTTATTTTTATAATAGTTTTTGTGTCATTTGGGCAAACAGCAGTGCCAGAATCCTGGCTCCAAAATGATCACTTCATGCCACTCATAACCCTCAAAGTCCAGGACAATTAGTTCATTGTACCATTTACAAACACATGTTGAAAAGCTGCTTGTTGGCTCTCAGTGTGTCCCTTATGTCCTCTACTCCATTTCTGTAGCTTGTGAGGTTCTCAGGCTAGAGAGAGACAAACATCATTACTGGCAGTCCCTCACAGTCAAGGATGATTGTCTTCCATGATTGTCTTATATGTGGATCTGAAGATGGCTGACAAGGCCTATCTGGGATCAACTGACTCTGCAGCTCAGGCACACACTTCTGTGAAGCATGCGTGGCTCTGGGTTCTTGATTCGGTTCACAACACACTCTTTCTGTCACCCCTGCTTTTCTGTCTCCTGTTATTGTCATCAGATTCTTGCAGCAGATTCTTCCTGCATTTGGGAAGGACCTGGGCGAGAGTTTCCCATGAGCTGATGTCAGTATTGCATTTTTTAAGTTGGCCTTAAGCAAGTCCTGAAGTGCTTTATCTGCCCTCCTCTTAAGCATATACCTTATAGAGCTGGGAGAATAAAATTTGCTTTGAGAGTCTAGAGTCACACATCCAGACAATGTGTCTGGCCCTGCAAAGTTGATGTCAGATGATCACCTCGATGCTCATGGTCTTTGCTTGTGACAGGTTGTAAACTTTGGTGCATCCATCTTCTCACCGGATTCAAAGCATCTTCCACAAGCAGAGTTGATGGCATTTCTCCAACGGCTTGATTAATGGTACTTCTCCAACAGCTTGAGATGTCTCCTGTATGTTGTCCACATCTCAGCTCCATACACTAGGTGGGGATCACAACTGCTTGATTAAAACATGAGCTTGGTTTCAGATCTGATGTCACAATCTTTGAACACCTATTTCCTCAGGTGTCTGAAGGCCCCATCTGCACATGTGAGGCAATGTTAGATTTTTTTTCTTCAGTGTCAGTCTTCTGTGAAAGATGGCTTCTGAGGTATGGGAAATACTCAGTGTTCTCCAGTGTCTCACTGTGAATCTGAATTACTGGAGCTGGGAACTGCTGATGAAGGGCTGGTTGATGAAGCATGACCGTAGTCTTCTGCATGTTGTGTCAGTTCCTTTTTCTTATATGCCTTGGTAAAAAAGGTTGATGATTGCCTGAAGGTCTGCTTCTGAGTAAGCACAGACTACAGCATCATCAGCATACTGAAGCTCAGTGATTGAGGTCTGGGTGGTCTTGGTTTGGGCTCAGTCATCTTGAGATTAAACAATTTGCCATCTATTTGGTAGTTTACCTCCATTCTGACTGGAAGCTTGTTTGGTGGTCAGAGGTAGCATTGCAGTGATATGCGACTCATATCTAGAAAAGTGTTGGAGTGATAGTGCAGCTTTGCTTAACTCCTATCTTAACCTCAAAGGGATCTGTGATGGATCCATTATTGAGAACCACTGCTCACATACTCTTATGGAGCAGGCAAAAATGGTGATGAATTTTGGTAGGCATCTGAACTGCAGAAGGATCGTTCACAGTGCTTCTCAGTTGACAGAGTCAAAGACTTTCATGAGGGCAAAGAAGGCCATGTAGAGAGGTGCATGTTGTTCCTGACATTTTTTCTGCAGCTGGTGAACCATGAAGTTCATGTCAGTTGTGCCTATTTATGCCCTAAATCTACACTGAGATTCTGGGAGCAGCTCTTCAGCAAGTGGAAGGAGATGGTTTAGGATGGTTCTCACAATGATCTTCCCTGTGGTGGACAGCAAGGCAATCCCTCTAATTTCCACAGTCAGACTTATTTCCTTTCTTGCAGATTGTCATGATCATGGTGTCCCTGAGGTCGTCTTGGATCTCCTCATCAGCTCCATGCCCTGATCCTAAGGATCTTGACGATTTTGGCAGCAATTCCATTATCTCTAGGTGCCTTGTCATTCTTCCTCCGCATGGTGGCTGTAGCAGAGCACTAGGGTGCTCGCTACTAGTGATGATAATGAGGACAGCTGCCAGTCATCAGGGCAGCACAGGTGAGGGTTGCCGGGGCGACCAATATTGGTCAGCTGGCCAGAAGGGGGCAGGGCCTTGGCCTTTATAAGCAGCCAGGCTGAGGCCAGAGCCAGTTCCCCTCTGGCACCCGGAGAAGAAACAGCTCTGCTATAGAGCAAAGCATAGCATAGCATAGCATAGCAGAGCAGAGCAGAGCAGCATGAATGCTTGACCGCCTGACTGTCTGCAGAATGGCCTGGTAGGGAGAGGCCTCTGTCAGGGAGGCTTGAAGGAGAGCCAGGGTGGCGTGGAGTCTTATAGCCGGTAGGCTGAGTTTTGCATTACAGCCGATTGGCTTATGGTTTTGTTTAGTTATGGATTGAGAACCAGAGGACCGGGTAAAGCTATAAGGGGAAGGAGGAGGCCTTGGAGGAACACCCCAGCAGTGTGTGTGGGGGGGGGGTTCCTCATGCCCTGAGAGGGCACAGCAAGCAGATGCCAAGGAAGGCCCACCAGTTGATGCGCTGTAGGGTGGCTCTGTGTTGTGGGGTGTCCTGACCCCAGCCCAGTGGGGCGACATCAGGCAGAGCTAGTGGGGGTCCCGACCCCAGCCCAGTGGGGTGACGTCAAGCAAAGCTAGTGAGGTATCCCGACCCCAGCCCAGGGGAGCAGTATTGGGGGTAGAGCCCAAGCAGGGCATACGACTCAGAAGACGGGTCAGGGGCCAGGCACGGCTATAAGCCACCTGAGCCCCAACCGCAGGAAGCGCAGGCGACAAAACCCCAGTGGGGTAACCAACCATGGGAAGCGCGGGCGACGAAACCCCTGTGTGGGTGTGAGCGCGGGGAGACAGGCCCAGTGGGGCACTGCCTCTACATGAGAAGTCCCAGAAGGAGGGCGAGCTACATATGGAGAAGCCCCAATGAAGGCGAGTGCGTGGGTAAGAGCCTGAAGAGGGCGAGCTACATAGGGGAGTCCCAGAGAGGGGGCGAACCTATCACGGGACCCCAAAGAGAGGGCGAGCTATACAGAGGCCCCAGAGAGGGCATGTACATATTGACATATTGAAAGGCCCCAGCGAGGGTGCGTATATGTATTGAGAGGCCCCGGAGGGGGTGAGCATAAGAGTGAGACAACCCGGGAGGAGTCGCTAAGATGCATAGAGAGATGAGAACGTCCAGTACAACTGCGAGGCTTGGGGCGTGCTGCAGGGGAGGTAGGAGGCACGCATAGCCCATAAGGCTGGGGGTGTACTGAGTCACACTATACCAAAGAGGGGTCAGGTTGAACTGCACCGTGTCCGAGAGGACGAAAGGCAGCCTCCCATATAAATGCATATAAGAGCAAGACGTGGCGGGCGAGAGAGAGGGTGCTGGATCACCTACTTGGCACAGTAGGGGTCATTAGCGAGATCACAGCCGCTCCTGGGTCCCCGCCCTGTGACAGTGGCTTTCCTCACTTCATCGAAGGTTGAATTATCTCTGACTGGGTATTGTGGGATGGCATTGAAAACACTCATCAATGACAGAGGCTCAACTAAAGAGGTCTTCAAAATGCTCCTTCTAGTGGGCATTGATGATTTCCCTTTCCTTGATCAGGTCTCTTCCATCCTTGGGTCTCAAGAGAGACCATATCAGTATGCTGACAATGGCTTACAAGTCCAAGTAGGAAAAAGGAAAGGAACAATCTAAAAAGAAAAACATGACACTGGAATGTTTCTTCTTTACTGTCACCTTTATTTGGCAACATCTGCATTAAAAGTAAGGAGTGAAGAGTTTCACACTTGCTTAATTATCTGCTTGAGTTCACAGCCTGCTCAAATAAGTCCCCTGATAGCAAAACTGGGTTTATGGCCTTGCTTATACTGGGATTAGCTCAGATTAGCTTAGTTTAGCAGCTCATGCAAGTTAAAGAAGGGGTTTGCTCCACCAGTGCAAATGACAACTCTGCCTGTCTGCACAAGAGGTTTGCATTGGTTCAGTCAACTTGGCTGCTGGTCTCTGACAACTGAAATTGGTGCTACTTTTTATTGTGGAGAAAGAAGACTGAGTCGCATCCTCCTTACATGGTAACATTGGCTGTCACAAATAAAGGGAGATTACAGTATTAGCAGTGACAGATCTACCCTCTGTTTTGGTTTCCTTGGTCAGAGTTAATAACCTATGTGAGTGGTGCTGTCTTTCTGTCTGAATGCATGGAAATGGCTCTGTTTATTCTCACTGTGCTGCAGTTCCACATGCCAGTTGGCTGTATAATTATCCAGCCTTTCCATTACCTGTGTCCCAACAATTTTTCCAGGTGCCTGAAATAAAAGCTCTGCTTCTCTTTTTTTTTTTCTTTTAACCCCTTCATTTTGCTTCCAGTTTTCTGTGACAATCCAACTCATACATTAGTGCACACACAAAAGAGAGAGCAAGCTAGAGAGAACCTGTTAAATGTGGTGACACCTCTGCCATGGAAATAGTTTCTCTCTGTCTTATTTACTGGTGGTGGCTGGAAGAGTATGTGTTCAGTGAAAGGGCATGAGTGTGAACATGGAAAGGAAATGGCCCCTCTGGGCTGCCGTAGCCAAACAGCTTTTGAATGTGCTGTAAGCTTGGAAGACTGTGGGTGTGGTGACAAACAGATTGCTCTGAAATTTGTCTGATAGTCAGATGGTATCCAGTCACCTTCCTTACATAGACAAATCCAGGTCACTTAGCTCAATGACCTCTAGAGGGCAGTATCCCAACTCCAGACTGTTTAAATGCCAGTAGAGTGAAACCGGGAGTTTTCTTTCAGTACAGCTGCAGAGTTTGGACTCTCAGGTAGATGGAGGTTGGTGGCAGCCTTATGTGCAGCATGGCTCCTCCTACACTGAAAAAACAGGATGGGGCAACAAGCCCAACTGACTGGCCTTCATAGATTCCAAAACAGTCTAGGAAGCTGTTGGAGGAAAACTAAGAGGCTGAAAAAGGGAGGGAGTGGTGTTCCTTGGACTCCCTGAGATCTTTGCTCCTTGTCTGTGCGCATAAGGAATGGTATTGCTGGACTCCGGAAGATCTTTGTTCCCTTTCCCAGTTTAGGCAAGAGGAGCATGAGATTCTGGTAGCCTGATCCTGGTTTGGAGCTGCATTATAGTGTATATAGCTTGACTTCCTGTGTTGCTTTAAACACACAACACACGTATGTTTGCCTGTCAGCTGGACAGAGGGGGCTGCACCTCACTGACCAAGAGCTGCAACCACAGTCCTGTGTTTGATGGGACTCCATGGGAACCCATGACAGTGGAAGAAAAGCACAATGTTCTGTGTACCCCTTACATGCTATTGTTTTTCCCAGCTCTGCTGGGGGCCACATCTGTCTACCAGTCCCAGGTCAGGTTTCTCCTCCTTGCGCATTCCTACATAAGCCTGAGGACCAAGATTTACATCACCTTGGACCAGCATTTCCCATCCCTTAGAACTTGAAGGCTGAGCCCTGGGCAAGCAGTGGAGAGGATGGAGCCTTCTTTGCTCCATCAGTACTAGCTCTGTCAATTTCTTTCCCACACATCTTCCATCCTTACCCAAAAGTCCTTCCTGGGGAATACGGTGATGACTTTGGCTGGTTTTGTGAACCTGGGCCCAGTGCAGTTGAAAGACCACCATCCTGAGATACAGGAGCATAAGGGGAATCAAGGTGGAGGGTCTTTGAGATTCACTACATCCTCTCTCACGGTTCTTCCGATGGTGTTAGACTCTGCTTGTATTTGATGAAAATGCATTGTCAGCCATACCCTATGTGTTAGGATTTTAAAATAAGAATTACACCTGATTCTCAACCTGTTCACTTCATCTGATTAATGCTTTTAAATACCTGTGTGAGAGGGAACATATTGGACAATATGTATACCAGCTGAAGTGTCTACTGATTTTTTTGGTTGTCCACCTTGAGGCAAAAGGGACTTCAGTTTGGTGTGCAAAATTTGAGGAACGCACTGTCTATGGGTTACTATTTGATAACTTTTGCTACAATTTGTTTGCTCTATGATGTATAACTGTTGACCATACAACATGGGGAAGGTCATTGGGACGGCACATCTGAGGATAGTGTGGTTCAGGAAGCACTTTACACACCCTATAATTATTTCATTTGCAATGTGCCTTGCAAAGTGCCTAGATATCGATGTACTTTATAGAGTTCTGGGTTCTGTTGGCCCTAGTGAACAAAAGGGATAAAACAGGAAGCTGGCTTGTCTCTGCTTATAGCTGGAGCTGATTTTACCAGGAAGCATTTACTGAGGAGGATTGTGATTCCATGCATCACAACAGACCTTCCTTTTTCGAATTTAAAATATGAAACGAGTCATTTCCTTTTCAAAGAAGCATTCACATCTTCTCCATCTTCTCCCTGAGCTTAATATATTTTTGCTCTTCCAGTTCAATCTTCTATCACTTTTTAAAACTGCTCCTGGAAAAGTAGTATAACACTGAATTCTCTTGGGTCTGAGGTAGTTATTATAGTTATCTTGTTGTCAGAAAGTCTGAACTAAAACAAATTCAGAATAAATTCAAATCTCTCTCTTTAGTTTTAATTTTCTTTTTGTATGTCAGAAATCAAGAGTAGGGGAGGGAGAAACTCCCAGGCCTAGGAAAGAATAGAGAAGCACTAATCATATGTAAATTGCACCCCTTGTTGGCACTAATAGTTTAATCAAGGGAGATTTTAAATAATGTTCACTAAAGTAATAGATCCATCATGGGGAAGTCTGAACTAGAGCTGTCTTCTTTAGGAGCGCAAAACATTATTGATAACAAGTTTTATTCCCCAGCGACCTTCCCTTCTTTGATCCTATCTTGAATGATTGTAACAAAAACCATCCTCAACAAGGTCTTCTTTAATAATAGCCTTATGACAAAGAAGCACTGGACGACAGCAGCTTCTTTTCATGGAGAAAGAGGCACATTTTATTTTTAGATATGAAACTGGCAAGAGGTGTTTGCTTTGTAAGCACATGGTCAGGGGGAGGGGATGCAAGCCAGGTAAAAAGGAATAGGAAATAGCTCAGGTGCAGACTCATATGGAGGCCACAGATTCTGAGGCTCAAAGGATTTCTGCTGGAAGAAAACCAAGCCTGAGCATGCTTGAGCATGGGAGGTGGGGGGAATTTTAGATCTGGATCTAAATGTTTTGACCTAGAATAGAACATCAAACCTCAGGCTTTGCTTCTTTATCTTCTTGAACAGTTGTCTTAGGTTGCACTGACCAGGTACAGTTTTTCAAGATAGCTTTAGACCCATCACAATAACCACCTGGAACAGGTTGAATTCTCTGCTAATGTAACCTGGTGCATTAGGGCCTTGTTCTGTGGTAATTTTGAGTGACTCCTGGAGCTCTTTAACACCTGGATGGTCGGCACATTAACACCTGAAACTGGTTTTAAATACCCATTAGGCAGCTCAAAGCTATGCCACTCCAGGGCAGGATTATTGCTGATCTGTGTCACCCAGCTTGTGCTGCAGTAAAGTGTAGCCACTCTGGAGAGCCCCAGGGGTGGGGGTGGAAGCCCAGAATGTAGTGGGTCTTACCTTTCAGTCCTCCAGGCCCCTGCTGTTCTGAACATGTGATGGCTCCAAACTGGAGCTAGCACCAACACCAATCAATAGGGACCTACTGAATTTGTGATTATGTGGATTCAGTGAAATCTGGCATTGCCTGTGAAATCCGGGCAATGCCCACAAAATCTGCAAAATCCACAAAATCTGCAGGGGCTGAGGGGGTAGAAACCTTACTAAGTGCTGTGGCAGCTCACCAAGTGGGGTGGGGGGGAAGGAAGTGAGGCTGCCCGCTCAAAAGGCGGCCAGCAAGATGGCTGCCACCCTCACCAGTGATTGGCTGTGAGGGTTGCCTGTCATGTGGCTCCACCTCTCCACCCATCAATGGCAAGGGGTGTGGCTACATTATAGACAGTCCTTGCAACCAATCAGTGGTGAGGGGTGGGGACACATGACAGGCAGCCTCCACAGCCAATTGGTGGTGAGGGGTAGGGCCAACCCAGCCCATCTGCCAGAGGCATGTGGGGGGCAATGGTGCTTCATCCATGAAATGGCTGCCCTGGCCTGTGTTCTACCTGTGAAATCGGGGGTGGGGGGCAGCCCCCACGAATTAGGTAGGTCTCTACCAGTCAACATCTGTGTAGTTCACAGTGTAAGGTGTAACAAGGCCCTTAGGAAGGGGCTGGGGCTGGAGCCATGCTGGAGAATTTACAGATGGGTTCTGCTGATGGTGGAGATTGGGGAGTCACAAGTTGGCACTGAAACTTTAAAAAGATGCTGCTTGAGTGACTTTTATGGAACCATCTCCTCTCTTCTCTCATTGTCATTTTCAGTCTCAAAGACTGGTATCTAACTATAGGAAGAATCACCAGAACCAAGGCAGCATTATCCAGTGGAGATCTCCATTTGCTTGAAGCTCTGTGGCTAGAAAGCATTGATTTCTGCAGTGGAAAGGGAAGAAATGCTTAGTTCTCCCAGCAGTTGTTGTATGGGGGAGGAAGTGGCCCAGGTAACTTCAGCTGTGTGTAACTTCCAGGCGTATTAGGGCAGATGTGGAACTGACCTTTGTCTTTGTGTTGACATGTTACACTTCTTTTGTAGAACCCTGAGCAGAAGGTGTTGGTGTGGCATAGACTAGGGCAAAGCCATGGTGTGAGACCATCAGAAGCAACTGCCAAAAGCAGTCTGCACATTGAAGATATTCATGCAGATTGTCTGGGTTTGTTTGTCCCCATCCAGTCTGTTTACATCTGTCTACCCAGCTATCAAATTGCATGTCATAATTCTGGGTGTTCATATGTTATGGTCATCACTGTGGTATCTCTATGTCTTTAAAGAAATCACACCCACTTTTACCAGGTCTGAATCCTCTCTGATCTCATTAAGACTCCATGTAAGAGATGTGCCATAATGTTTTTTTTAAAAAATTCTTGTACCTTTTCCATGGCAACGCATGCCACAAACAAAGAGCCTGTCAGTGCATACAGGGTGGGAGCAGAAAAAAACCTATGAGAAAAAAACATGAGACTGTATATACCTGACTTGACTCTCAAAGAAGGGTTTATAAGCTTTGGGAAGTGAAAATTGATG